TTATGATGAGAGAGTAAAAGATGTAAAGGTTACTACCTTCAGCATGGAAGTATCAACTGTGAACTTGATTGCATCTGCTGCTGCGCGTGATCTTAGATAGTACATTCCTGTTTTTAAACCCTGCCAGTAACAAGTTTGAAATTCAAATGCATGTACAAGACCATCATCACACAGGAATTTCAAGCAAGAGCGTATCCGAACTAGTACAAATGATGAATCACAATAATCATACAATTGAAACAACAAACTGTATTGTGAAATGGTAAGCATACCCTGGACCAAGTATGAAAATGCAGGGATGTAAGCTTTCCAAAATTGGGTTGGTCCATATGGATGTTGAGACTCTGGCTCTGATCAATGTAGCATCCACGGTCTACAGCCATATCAACCAAGTTCCGTTGCTTGATCTCCCAAACAGTCCTAGCATCATTAAATAGTATAAGCATGGAATTTGAAGTAAAATGAACATGAAAAAAAAAAGAAAAAGCAATGCAATAAAGAAATCCATACTTGTATATGAGTTTAAGATCATTTGGAATTTCTGGGATTTTCTGCACAGAACCATCATCATAAATTATCCTATTCTTGAGGGTAGGATTCCAAAGCCCCATCTCAGTTAAGTCATGAAGAAGATGCTTGTTCACCACAACAAATTCACCACTGAAAAGAACATACATAGTTAAAATCCGAAGACAGCAAAATTAACTATATTAGCATTGAGATAAAGGATCAAGCAGCAAAAGTAACCTTAGAACCCTTCTGCTGTAGATATTGGATGTGTATGGCTCAAAGCATTCATTATTTCCAAGAATTTGGCTAGTTGAAGCAGTTGGCATTGGAGCTACAAGAAGTGAGTTTCTTACACCATTCTTTGCAATCATTTCACGGAGAATACCCCAATTCCATCGATCTGATGGTGTTACTCCCCACATGTCTGGCTGGACAATACCCTGAACAGAAAAGTCCAATCTTAACAAAATACCATAGCGAATCAAACACACATCTGACAAATCATCAAACTTTTCCCCCCATAATATCAGGTTCTATTTTTGGCACATTTTTAACTGTCTTTTCTTGGATATCATCTTCATATTTAACAGAAAATCACAATTCTTTATCAAGAAGGGCAAGATTAAAGCCTAGTTTAATTCTCAGAAGTCCTGGACAACCAACCAAGCAATCCACATAGTAAATCATCAACCAAAGCAAAAGCTACAATGTATACCTTGCTTACTGGACTTCCTGCATATGTCTCATATGGGCCTTCCTTGGCAGCTAATTCAGAAGAAGCTTTTAAAGCATGGTAGTATATAGTCTCAAATATGTCTTTGTTTAGCTGTTGAGCCTGCACATAGACAAAATACAAGATTAGCCACCATTGAACCAGTTAAACAACAAAAGTTGGATGGAGGGTGACTTACCTCTGGTGAATCAAATGCCATGCCAAGCAATATGAATGTATCTGCAAGACCCTGGACCCCAAGTCCAATAGGTCTATGTCGTAAATTAGACCTTTTTGCAGTTTCAACAGGGTAGTAGTTGACATCAATAATTTTGTTCAGGTTTGTAGTCACCAATGCAGTGACCTGTCTCACATGAAAAACACAACACAGTAAGACAGATATCCAAGATAAATAACTTAAAGACACATCAGAAGTTGACAAGGTCAATTTGACAGAACAAAATCTAACCTCTGCCAGTTTGTCAAAATCAAAGTACCGGTTTTTAGAGCCTCTGCTCCCAACAAGCTTAGATGGTTGTGATTCACTTGGGACCTCCTACAAGATATAAAGAAAAGTGCTTAAATAACAGGACAAAGAACTTAAAACCAAGCAATGTTTTCAAGTGTACGGCATTTGTAACTACCTTCTCTCTAACATATCGTGGAAGAGCAATTGAGGCAAGATTGCACACAGCAGTTTCAGTAGGACTTGTGTATTCAATAATTTCAGTACACAAGTTAGAAGACTTGATTGTGCCAAGATTCTGTTGGTTGCTTTTTCTGTTACAAGTATCCTATGATAACAAACAGAAGAAAGGATTAAAAAAAAATATTAATGCATCCAATAACATATATAACAAGATAAACAATATTAAATTCACCTTATATAGCATGTATGGGGTCCCAGTTTCTATCTGAGACTTCAAGATCTCAAACCAGAGATTTTGTGCTTGCACAACCTTCTTAGCCTTACCCTGAATTGACAAAATGGGGTCATTAATATCATATGCTGACAAACATCAAGTAATCCAAGGATTCCATGCTCAGCAAGCAATTAATCACAATAGTTGACTTGCTTTTACCTCTCTTTCATACTTTGTATACAGCTTCTCAAAATCTTCACCCCAGCAATCTGTCAATCCAGGAGCCTCACTTGGACAAAATAAAGACCATTGCCCATTGCTTTGGACTCTCTCCATAAAAAGATCAGGCACCCAAAGAGCATAGAAAAGATCTCTGGCCCGATGCTCTTCCTGCAGAGATAGACATGTTCAGTTTTGCAATTACAAGCCTTATGATATGAAAGGATTACAAAAGTCCTAGTGAAAAGAACAGTTTGATTAAGCTGCCTTAGTCCTATGAGACTAATACAACATATTGGGAGTTGATTACATAAAGGATAGTAACTACACCTTTCCATGGTTCTTCCTCAAATCCAGAAATTCAAATATATCAGAATGCCAGGGCTCAAGATAGATAGCAAAGGCACCTATACACATCATAAAATTGTCAGAAAAAATCAATTCAAGGCTTGGGTCCATTATAACAAATCTAATACAGACAAGTAATTAAGCATACCCTTTCTTTTGCCACCTCCTTGGTCAACATATCGAGCAGTGTCATTAAACACACGTAGCATCGGAACAATTCCGTTTGATGTCCCATTTGTTCCACGAATATAACTCCCAGTTCCACGAATATTGTGCACAGATACTCCAATTCCTCCAGCAGATTTGCTAATAACAGCACACTCCTTAAGAGTGTCATATATGCCCTCAATACTATCATCTTTCATGCATATCAGGAAGCAGCTACTTAACTGCAAGTCAAGGAAGAAACTATTAAACAACTTTTGTTTGGAAATTATGCTCTGAAGCTATTTCCTAATCAAATTGACATACTTGAGGCCTTGGAGTTCCAGCATTAAAAAGAGTTGGAGAAGCATGAGTGAACCATCTCTGAGACATCAAATGATAAGTCTTGATGGCAGATTCAATATCATTCTTATGTATCCCAACAGAGACTCTCATCAGCATATGTTGTGGCCTTTCTACAACTTTCCCATCAATCTTTAAGAGGTAAGACCGCTCCAGGGTTTTGAAACCAAAGTAATCATAGTCAAAGTCCCTGTCATATATGATCTCACTGTCCAATCGAGCTGCATTCTGTGGAAGACAAGTTAATAACTGACCTCTGAACTTCAAAAGTACCAGTGAAATAACTATCTCATCTGCATTCAAATGTGCATACCACCTTGGGAAACAACTTAGTAAATCATGTTTTTATTGAGCCAAAAATTTAAAGATAAAAGGTTGAAAATTAACAGAAAGCAAACCGTCTTATTTCCTGAAAATGGAACACAGCATTCTTATGAGAGGCAGAAAGATTGGCAACAATCTCATCACTACTTGGTTTTAGTAGCAGCAAGGACATGTCATGTGCATGAAAAATGGACAACTGAGCAATTTTTATTCTGTTTCAAGGTTAAATGGAAATACAGGTACAGTGTTCAGGGTAACTAAGCTATGTCAACAATAATCAACTGAAGAGCATAGGAACAAGTCTGGATGCATATATTTTGATATGAATAATAAAGGGACACAAAAAACTCGGGGAAACTGGTGCTTTCAAAATTCAATGACCTTTTCTACAATATCTTACTCCAGTCAACTGTGTTTAAGCTATTATTCAATAAACAAACAAGCTTTCACTTAAGCAATCTCATCATAGCCTTAAACAAAATTATGTTCAGAAAGGGCAATGATACCTTCATTATAATCTCATACACTTCATCAGAAATCAAAGGTGCCTTGAGTCCAGATCTCTCACTGACATGGTTGTACATGTCCTTGACACTGTGAAAATCACAGTACTGTAAGCAACACCTTTCTATCTCAATCATTAGGCCAACTTTTTGTTTTCAAAGAATTAAAAATACTGGTGACAAATAATGGTCTTACGTCTCGGAAAATATTTTCTTTGTGTTCTTGTGCAGATTGGAAACAGCAATCCTAGCAGCCAGCTGCAACATAAGTACATTTAAGCAAATGGATGATTAAAAACACCATGATCAGAAAGCAAAAACTCATATTTAGATGTATCCTCAACAGAAGCTTTAACTCTATCTGAACAGCAAAGGGAGAGAACATAATAGTTACTACCCCATTCCAATTAATGACACATTTTACTATTACATCTATTGATTTGTGTTTTTAGTATGTTGAATTTGGAAATGATAATTAGTTTCGGATTCTGTATTAAATTGAGGTAAAAGTAATTTGTAATCTAATGAAATGGAGTCAAATAGTGGGAAATTGATATAGAAGATTTGTATATCAATACTTTGACTGTTTTTTATTTTATTTTTAAAATTGATAATATTTGATTGGAAATGGAATTAAAGATATTGATTTAATTTTACCTACCGTATTAGTAGTATTGAAATAATATATTGTATAAAACCATTGATTGAGAAACTAGTTTGATAGAGAAGCATTATATCAAACTTTATAAGTTGAAGTCTAATGATATAGCTAGTGAAATGCTGTGTTGAAAATGTTTTGAATACTGTTTGATTGCATTCAATAATGTTTAACAACATTTCACTAGCTATAATCAAGATAAATTATTTTCTTGATTATTCAAATTGAACAAGTTACATATGTATCTTCATATTAATTAAATATATATAATAAATATGAAGATATACACATAACTACAATCATTCAAATCACTTTTACTTGCTCAATCAATAATTCTTTGAGCTCCTACTCTATTTCTTTTTTCTTGATAATAATGGAATCATATTTAGTTTATTTACGTTGAAATCAACAACAACTCTAACATATCATGATTCCATTATTATCACGAAAAATAAAATAAAGGAGCTATCCAAAGAACCATATCTTGAATTAGTGAATAACAAGATAGTAATCTTGTTTTCCCAAAATTCAACTGCTTCTCCCAATGGTTGAAGGCAATTATAAATACTCCCTCCAATCACTTTTACTTATTCAATTTGAATAATCAAGAAAATAATTTATCTTGATTATAGCTAGTGAAATGTTGTTAAACATTATTGAATGCAATCAAACAGTATTCAAAACATTTTCAACACAGCATTTCACTAGCTATATCATTAGACTTCAACTTATAAAGTTTGATATAATGCTTCTCTATCAAACTAGTTTCTCAATCAATGGTTTTATACAATATATTATTTCAATACTACTAATACGGTAGGTAAAATTAAATCAATATCTTTAATTCCATTTCCAATCAAATATTATCAATTTTAAAAATAAAATAAAAAACAGTCAAAGTATTGATATACAAATCTTCTATATCAATTTCCCACTATTTGACTCCATTTCATTAGATTACAAATTACTTTTACCTCAATTTAATACAGAATCCGAAACTAATTATCATTTCCAAATTCAACATACTAAAAACACAAATCAATAGATGTAAAGCAAATCGGAGAATAGCTCACTGCTTGACTACCTAAAATGCTTCACCTTATCGATGAGAATTTAATTAGCCACCTAATAATGCCATCTCCCTTTTCCCCACCTATACCCCCAATTGTTTTATAAAAAATAAAGTAAATCAGAGACACACAAGCATAATCAAGGTAATTCTCACTATTGGAACCCATTTCATTAGATTATGAAATACGTTTACCTCAAATTAACCCAAATTCCAGAACTAACTATCATTTCCAAATTCAACACATCCAAACACACACATCAATAGACATAAAGCAAATCAAAGATCAACCCAACTTAATAGACTACGCAAATTTTCACCTTGACCATAAAAATTTCAAATCCCTATTTAAAAAAGGCAAATCAGAGACTCACACAAGCATAATCAGGATGATTCGCAGTCAAAGCAGCCGCCGTCTCAGCAGCCAATTCATCAAGCTGACTAGTAGTAACCCCTTTATAAACACCAGCACAAACCTTCTGCGAAACTAGCACCGGGTCACAGTGATCAGGACTAAGACCATAACTCAATTTCTTCAGCCTAGCAGTAATCTTATCAAAATGAACCGCTTCTTGACGCCCATCTCTCTTCACAACATACATTGTTCCTCTTTCTTTTTTTTTCACTGAGGAATTTCGTCAAACAGTTGGCAGAAGGAACAGATTACAAAACAGAAACTGAAAGTCAGACTATAAGAATTTGCTACAATTTCAGTGAGATCTGTGCGTATATATAGCATTTAACAAACAATTTTTTGAATTTCCCTCTCTTTTTTTCGTAGAAATGAATTTTTTTGAAATTTTCCCGCTAAATGGAAGAGCGGGTTATGTGGGGTTTGGCGGGTAAAGTATTAAATATGGCTGGAAAAGTGGAGGAGAAGCTAGATGTGGAGCCCACTTGTGGAGATTTTTGTGGAAACTATAATTTCAGATAATTGTAAAAAAAAAACTTTAATCATAAATCACAAATTTGAGTAGTGAAAACAATCATTAATGCTTATATATTTCCTCTGTTCTAATTTATGTGGTGGATTTTAAGAGTCAAATAGTTTAGTTTTGACTGTGAATTCAGGCATGAAATTCTTAAGTTTTTTTTAAAATAAGATTTACATATTTGGAAACTATGTAAAATATACTACTCTAAGTTAAAGAATTCGTAATCAAGATATTTGAAGAATATGTTAAAAAATTACCGTCAAAGATAGACTTGTTTGAGTTGTCAAAAAAAAAATGTATTAGTTTTGAGATTTAAAAATATCACATAGATTAAGACAAAAGAATATTATTATAGATCGTCTACTTGTCTACCTCACATTCCTAAAGTGAAATGTCACATAGATTAAGATAGAAGAATATTTTATGCACCCTATTGTCATTTTTTATATATTGGCAATATATTTATATTCAATTCTAGAGATGGTATATTTCTAAAGTTATGCATCAATATGAGAATTACTCTAGCTAATAAGAAACAAAATTAAATGTTTTTATTTATGATCAACTTTAGCGGTAAATCATAAATACCAATTTTAATACTTATTTAATAATTTTACTTTTGCCGCCAATTTTTATAAATTTTTTGTTGTGGTAGGTAGGACCAAATTATGATGAATTGGTTAGCTTTTGTTACAAGATTGGAATTTGGAAGTTGGACCATTGTGTGCTGTTTATTTTAATTTTTCTAGTTGTCATTTTTTGGGATTCTAAACTCCAAGCTTGTAATGAAAGTCAACATATTTACATATTTGAATTTCAAATTTTTTAAACAAATTTAATTCAAAAATTCGAATTTTGAAATTTGAGTTCATTTCACCATTCTTTACAAAAATATTTGTTCTTTAATCTTTCTTTCTATGGATAAATACTTCTCACAATATAGGTGACCAAACATACGAATAACTTTAAATATTTTTATTTGAAAGTTTGAGGTGGTCGTATCAAAATTCAAACAAAAAAAATGTCTAGCATTTAAGATTGACGAAACCAAAACTTTAATCATCCTTGTCAATGATTTCTGAATTTAAACTTTCATAAACATAACTTCAAAGTTCAGACATTATTTGTCTTTTGAAATTGATCTCGAAATGGCTAAAATACAAATTTATGCATTTCAATTTTCAGTAATGACTTAAATGGTGATATCAAAATTGGCTATTTGTGCAAATTGCCTCTAGATATTTTGGTTTCATTTGGACTTTGCAAATATGTCCAAAGAAAAGTGTATCTCTGGTTTTAACTTTGGGCTTTTCAAAGATAATTTTCCAGAGGTTTTCATCTATAAGGCTGGTCCATGAACCTTCACTTGACTAAATAAATCGGATTCCAAAGATGCATGTAGTCATGTAAAAAGTGGCGGATTCAGAATGTTAGAGGGAGATTCATAAAAATATACTCCGTAGTGTTTGTTGAACTCTGTATATGTACTAAAAAAAGTCATTAAATATCTATAAATATTCTAATTTGAACCGAGTTATTATTACATATTAACTTGAAATCGCTACAATGACTCATAAACTTCAAATCTTGAATCTGTCTTAGCGAGTTAGTGGCAAAATTTGAAATTTCATTACAGATGTTCAAGACATAACCTATATATATTTCGTATTGTTTTTCTATGTATACAATGTAATTTTTCAACGAAGGATGTTCAACTGACCCCTCAATATTGTTTAACTGGAAATAGCCAAGTCAAGAAGTTGAGATTTTCTACAGCTTTAATTTGTTTGTTGAATTTAATTTGGAAAATTTCTGAAAATCATTTTCCAAATTGTCAAGGTTCTGGATACAAGCATTTAAGTGAGTGTCTTCACATAATGTCCCCTGTGGAAAAGCTCAAAGGTAACCCATAAAAATTTATTCGTATCGGGTGTTCATGTTAAGTCAATCAATATGTGTATGCCATCCGTGTGTTTGAGTATAGACATTTGATGAATAGCTGATTGCACACATTTCTCTTCTCATTTTAGTATCATGCTAATACAACTTTATTAAATTTTGGAAGGTAAATTCAAATTCTTTTCAATACAAGAATAATACTATACGAGTAGTATGTTTAAGTGAATGGTCGTTCTATATTTTATGGACTTCTTCGTCTTTCAATTTTTGACTTAGCATCTTCTTACTTTAGTATAGTATGATGACGACGATGATGATAAGTATTCCATAAAAAATATTGAATGTGTGTTGCATTTTATTTTATTTTCTTTTACATGTAACACAACCTTATAAGGTTGATTTGAAAGATTTTTGTGAAACACAATGCAACTGTCCTTTTCAAATTTTTTTTATTGAAAACATAATTAAGTAAATAGTTCGTTCACTGTAACAATCTACTATTGTGAAACACAACCCAAGTAGTGTCAACAGAAAATGGACAGATTCATTTTTCAACAATTTTATTTGTGTTTGGTGCGATATATATATAGTGGAGTAACTTTGGTCTTGGCAATACCACACACAAATTAATGATCCCCTTGAAACAACTATATCATTTGTCTAGTGCATATGGAGAAGCACATTTTCTTATTGATACTTCTCTTTCTACTTCAATTTCCTATATCAATTGCTTCCTCAAATGATACTGACCAACAAGCCCTACTAGCTTTCCAAAATCTTATTACAAGTCCCAATCAATTTTTGGCTAATAATTGGACCAAGAATGCATCTTTTTGCTCTTGGTTCGGTGTCACGTGCAGTGCAAGAAGGCTAAGGCTTGTGGCCTTGGCTCTTCCTAATTTGCAACTTCAAGGCACAATTACCGGGATTAGGGCATTGCTTGTCAGAGAGCTCAATCTCGAGAACAACTTATTCAATGGGGGCATCCCTTACGGACTTGGCAAGTTGCCTCGCTTGAGAGTCATTGATTTTCAAAACAATCAGCTCCAAGGAAGTATTCCAACAAGTCTATTTCAACACCAGAGAGTTCAAATCATTTCATTGGCTTTCAATGAACTCAGTGGTGAAATGTGGAAAGGGCCATGGTATGTACCAGAACTCAAAGTCTTAGATCTCGCGAACAATAGCCTCACGGGTATAATCCCTCCTTATGTTGGTAATGCCACAAAATTGATGAACTTCGATTTGTCTGGGAGTAGAATCAATGGTACCATTCCAATGGAAATTAGTAATTTGAGCCAACTTGCATCTTTGTCCTTGGTTGATAATCAGTTAACAGGTTTTATTCCTGGATCACTGTTTAACATTTCATCACTACTTGGCGTAACTCTGGGATTGAATCACCTTTCTGGTCCTCTCTTGCTTGATGAAGGGAATATTGAGTCAAATCTGAAGATACTAAGTATATCTTTCAATCAAATTTCTGGTCGCATTCCTTCTAACATATGCCAACTCACACAGCTCAAAATTTTGTCCATATCTTTCAATAACATAACTGGAGACATACCCAAAAATATTGATTGTCTAGCCAAGCTCGAGATGTTCTTAATTAGTGAGAATGCAATAAGTGGAACTATTCCTACTTCATTGGGCAATATTTCCACTCTGCAACATCTTGATTCGGGGGACAATCGGTTGGAGGGACAAGTTCCTCAAGAATTAGGGAAGCTATCAAATTTGAGGGTGTTAAACTTTCACAAGAATTTCAATCTTATTGGTCAAATTCCAAAGGCTATTTTCAATATATCTTCTTTGGAAGCGATTGATTTCAGTTTCAATAACCTCTCAGGTAGAATTCCAGCCACTACCGATCTTCATCTTCCGAACCTTAAAGAGTTTATGTTGGCATTCAATCAGCTCGAAGGAGAAATTCCTCAATACATAGCAAATGCTTCCAAGCTTGAGATACTGGCGCTAAATTATAACTTTCTGACAGTTGCTATTCCTACTAATTTAGGAAATCTTCGCGAGCTGCAATCACTGTTCCTAGATCATAATCAACTTACCAATGAACCAAGAGAGCCTAAGTTGTTATTCTTGAATTCTTTGGTGAACTGTAGGATGCTGAAATATGTAGATGTGAGTTTCAATCCGTTGAATGGCGTTCTTCCCAATTCTATTGGGAATCTTTCATCTACTATTGAAGTATTTGATATAAGAAATGCACACATCTATGGCCTCATTCCCACAAGTATAGGCAACATGAGCGGTCTTATATCCCTAGTCTTTAATGAAAACAACTTGACAGGATATATTCCTCCAGAGATTGGTAAGCTTAAACAACTCCAAGGTCTGTACCTATTTAACAACAAATTGCAGGGACATATTCCAGAGGCGGTATGCCATTTATCTAATTTGGTCGAATTAGAAATGGATGGTAATGAACTCTCTGGATCAATTCCAGAATGTTTAGGAAATCTTGGGATGCTACTATATCTTTCGTTGGGTTCAAATGAATTTTCACCAAAATTTCCCTCGAGTCTTTGGAAGATGAGTGGACTTCTCTACCTAAACATGTCACATAATTCTATAGAGGGAGAAGTTCCACCAACTATTGGAGAACTGAAAGCCATTGAAGAACTACATCTTTCCGGTAATCACTTTTCAGGCCAGGTACCAAGCAGATTGGGAGACCTCCAAAGATTGAAGTCTCTTGACCTATCAAACAATTCATTTTCAGGCTCAATTCCATTATCCATTACCAACTTGATGAGCTTAGAAGACTTGGATTTGTCTTTAAATGCATTGTCAGGTACTATTCCTAAGTCTTTGGAAAAACTCTCATACCTTACAAGCATCAATGTTTCATTTAATGATTTAGAAGGTGAATTACCCAGTGGTGGTGTGTTTGTAAATTCCACTCTGCTATCATTTCTCGGGAACAAAGGTCTATGTGGAATGCACATATTGGAGCTTCCCGCTTGTCCTATCACTAATCCTGGACAACAATCAGTGTCTAAGAAACTTGTGCTAAAAATTGTTACTCCAGTGGTTATTTCATTCTTTCTGATATTCTTGTTGGTTTCAATTTGGATAATGAAACGAAAGAAGAAAGGGAAGTCCAAAGATGTTGAAAAGGTTCTGGAGATCAAAACTTATCAATTGATTTCTTATCATGAGATTCAACGAGCAACAAATAATTTTGATGGATCCAATTTAATTGGTGAGGGAAGCTCTGGCTCTGTGTACAAAGGCACATTCTCAAGTGGAACTATGGTGGCCATAAAGGTTCTGGATTTGGAAAATGAGCAAGTATGCAAGAGGTTTGATACAGAATGCGAAGTGATGAGAAATGTCAGACATAGAAATCTTGTTCCAGTGGTTACTACTTGTTCTAGTGACTATATAAGAGCCTTTGTTCTGAAATATATGTCAAATGGGAGTCTTGAGAATTGGTTGTACAGAGAAGCTCGCCACTTGAACCTTCTTCAAAGAGTCACTGTAATGCTTGATGCGGCTATGGCAATTGAATATCTACATCATGGCAATGACACTGCGATAGTTCATTGTGACATAAAGCCAGCCAACGTTCTTTTGGATGAAGATATGGTGGCGCATGTTGGTGATTTTGGAATCTCTAAGATTTTAGCCGTAAGCAAGTCCATGACACAAACCGAGACATTGGGCACTCTTGGATACATTGCACCAGGTATACTAAAATTATAACCTTTCTATTTAATTTTTCTCTTATCAAAATCAAGCCCTTGAAAATTCTAGGACTAAATAAAAAGCAAGTCTTTGTTAGTATGAGCATTATTACTATATCCAAATGAGTTAGTTCTTTTTCATTTTCGTTCTTTTAAGAGTACGGCTCAGAAGGAATAGTGTCGGCTAGTGGTGATGTTTACAGTTACGGCATCATGTTGATGGAGGTTTTGATGAAAAGAAGGCCAACAGATGAAGAGATATGCAATGAAAATCTTGACTTGAGGAAATGGATAACACAATCATTTTCAGGGAGTATGATGGACGTTGTGGATGCCAATCTTTTTTCCGAGGAAGAACAAATCACTTGTAAAAGTGAAATCTGCATAGGGTCCATGATAGAATTGGGTTTAGACTGCACAAAGGAAATGGCAGAATCAAGAATAAGCATGAAAGAAGTAGTGAAGAGGCTTAACAAAATCAACAACACATTTCTCGAAACATAGAAGTGATCAGCATCTCTTCTGATGGTGTTCTTTTCTAAGTTACTATGATGTGTTTTGTTTACCTCATTTTGTGATATTCAGAACCTGTTTCACTTTCTTTATTCGTAACTATGTTTTGAATGCTTGAATAAACCAGTGGAGTATTAAATTAAGTAATATTATGAAAGAAGTTTAGCTAAACCAGACAAGACAAAACATAATTAAATTTAAATTTATAAAAAAAAGCACAAAAGCAAATTTTATATATTCTCTTTGTCCCATTTTATATGTTTTATTTTTCTTTTTAATCCGTCTAAAAAGAATGACACATTTTTATATTTAACTTTAAAATGTTCATTTTAATCTTAATGAATGATTTCTAGCCACACAAATATCTACCACTCATTTAAACCACAAGTTTCAATTTTAGTTAAATTTATATATAAAAATATGATTATATGAATTTAAACTAAAGATAAAATGCTAAATGCATCTATTTGTTACACTTCTACGATAAAAACAAATTAGGTATGTCTCTTTCAGTCCCTCCTATAAGATTGAGATTTTGAAATTGAAATTTCATATAAAATTCCATTTGTAGAATAAAACAAAAAACTAACTAGAAAAGTTCATGAAAACAAATAGCCTTACTGGATTCGAATTCTAGTCTTACAAGTGGTTTCTCTATCTTGTACCAATAACACAAGAAAACGCTTATGCTATTTACGAGTGCGCTGCTAATTATATCATAATTTTTGCCAATTTCTCAAGATAGATATACATATATACACATTATTTTTTCCGAAGTTAACGGATATACATACACCCCACCGAACAAGGTGGGTCCGCCTCTGCTTATGTCAAGCAAAATCCACTAAAATCTCTCCACATGTGATGAGATATTGCCATCATATTGTTTGTTGGAGACCCAACCCGTGACCTTGTCCTTTTGAGCTTTTAAACCTAACCTAAAACTCCAAAAATAGTGATGTCAGTTTTGCAAGAGTATCGTTCACTAGGTTGTTTCGAATGAATTCATAAAATTTGGGATTAAATAGAGTTGGCTTGACATATTTTTTAAAAAAAGGCATAATATATAAATATGTCATTTAATTAATATTTATATATGCCCTTTCAATTTTGAGTATTGTGCACAAGTAGACACTTAAATTTGTATAAAATTGAACAAATAGACACAATCGTCTTACTGTCACTCCTCGAGCCTACACCCTGGACGTGACCGGCACTCGAGAACCATTGTTGGTCCCCAAGCGAACCCTTGACTGGCCGAATACTTAGCGGAAGGCTTACTCAAGCAAAATAGGAACTCCAAATGCAAAGGTTACCTCATAATGTCTCAATAACAACTTAACTCAATAAAAGTCTGGGAATACTTAAATAAACATAAGTAATCAACTCAAAGTCTCAAAACATCAACAAGGGAAATATGGAGAGACTCCTCAACTTCTAACTAACTATGAAGCCTCTAAATACTAAGATAGGTGTCGGGACAAGACCTTCGACAACTTAACAAAGAAGGAAATTTGAGTCTGAAACCCTCCGGTAAGCAAGGAGGCTCACCAAAGCTAGCTGGAGTGCCAATGGTATCAACGAAGCTCATATTGATGACCCTAAACACATGTGTCTGCATCATAAATAAGATGCAGGTCGAATGACGTCAGTACATTGAATGTACGAGCATGTAAGGGAAAAACTGAAAACATATATAGCTGAATTGATAAGACTAAAAGACATACTCACCTCAACTCAACTCCAATATGAAAGAAAAATATAAGAGATGCAATATTTAAAGCTTTTAAAACAGTAGATGGGGGTGTACAAAACCGAACCGAAAACCGAAAAAAAATAATCCGACTAGTGGTTTGGTATTGGAAAAAAAAACCCGACTATATTTGGGTTGGTTTGGTTTTAACGAAAAAAACCAACCCGAGAACAAACCAACCCGACATTATATATGTAATTTTAAAATTTTATTTTATACATAAAAATATTTACTTTTGATATAATTTTAAAAAAATTCTTATACTATTTCATAATTTTTATCTTTTAATATATTATTTCAAGTTTAAAACTTAGAATTCGAAATGGTCCAATAAAGATTATAGTTCATAGATGTTGATAATTATAATAAAACTTAAATCAAAATCAAACTAATACTAATGCAAAAAGAAAATCAATTCAATACTATGAATGACAATAATATTGAATATTTGTTCTTTAGTTTTACATTGATTTNNNAATAATATTGAATATTGGTTTTTTAGTTTTACATTGGTTTAGACAATTAAAATGCATAATCTAATTTTAATTTTCCTTAAATATTTAGTAATGTAACTAATACTTATTAAACTTATTTTAGCATGATTTAGTACTTTTAAATTATGATCATTTTCATTATGACTTTGCAATATTTATTTTATATGATGATTTCATTATTATTTTTTATTGAATATTTTAGTGTCATTAGTACTCATCTCATATTTTGTGTTATTTTTTTAAAAAGAAACACCTTAGATAATTACATTTTGGTTGGACTAAAGAAATATTTGGAGTACAAGTTAATTATATGTTTGTATGCAAAACTTTTACCAAAAAAATCGGAGGTTTATTAGTTTGGTTTGATTTATAAATTTTAAAATTAGACACAATGGTTTGGTTTGGTATTTGAAAAACCCGAACCAACCCGAGGTTGAAAAATTCAAAAAATCCAAATTTTATTAGTTTGATTTGGTTTATAAATTTAATTTTTTTACACAAATGGTTTGGTTTGATATTTGAAAAAACCTAACCAACCCGGTCATGTACATCCCTAACAGTAGATATCAACTCAAAATGTATAAAAATACAATAACATACTCTTTCTCTTTACTCTTATTTGAGAGATTCTCTAACCGACAACCATCACTATGAGCTATGTGATGATACAACGTCTCACCCACGCTGCCAGAACTGTGCTACAACTTGCCCGGGTATAAAACACCTCAACTAAGTGGATCCACTAAGCTATGCTTAAAACCAATGAAGAGTCGTCTAAAAAGTACGATCATTTACCCATGTTGGCTACATGATTTATGAGGAATGTGAGTTGTCTGAACTTATCTTTATATTGGTGTGCAATACTACTCCCAATAATATATAAACTCATGCTCAAATGTATAAAACACAACTCTTTCTCAATTTAAGGTAATTACTCAAAAAATCCTCTCAAAAGAGGTGATACTCGAAAACATCTCTGAACTCATAAACTCACTTAGAAATCAACGTTTCTCTCTTTTAAATGTAAAAGTGTTACATTTAGGAATACTTAGTTCCCTTATACTCTTTTTTCAGTAACTCTTAATTCTCAAAGAGATTATGAAACTCCAACTTTCATAATTAGCAATTCAGCTTTTTAAGGCTCATCCGCAATCATCCTTCGCTAGATCACGCTCAAGCTCAACTATGTAATTATGGAGTCCAATTGTAAGATCAAGGACGATTGAAATTCAAGAAAAATTTAAGTTGGCATTTATAACCATTAACCATTAATAAAAATATTTTAGTGTATATACTTTGGTGGCCGATTTGGTACAATTATTGATGATATGTTATTTTAAATAGTGATATGTAAGGAATATACTTTGGTGGACGATCTGGTACAATAATTGGTGATTTGTTGATTTTTAACTATGATATGTTTTAGTGTATATATTTTAATGGATGATATAGTTAAAATATTGATAATTTGTTGTTTTCAATTTGATGGAGGGTGTGGCCAATTTTTTTGGTGATATGTTGATTTAGAACTATAAAAAAATTTTGATTTATAATCTATGGTAAGGTTGATTTTAGTTATATGTTCCAACCCTAGAATGCATTACACCATAATCTAATCTAGTATATACCAACTTTTTAGTATCATCAAACTAATTTACATAGTGTACAATGTGGTGTAACTTTGTGTCAAGTCAAATTTTAATAACTATAACAACTGAAAATAATTGGTGGATTTGTTGGTTAAAAAATAATGGTGATTTGTTGATTTAAAGTTGCAATATGTTATAGTGTATACACTTTGATGTATGGTATGACTAATTTTTTGGTGATATGTTGATTTAGAACAATAAAAAAAACTTGATTTATAATTGATGGTGAGGTTGATTTTAGTTATATGTTCCAACCCTAAAATGCATAACACCATAATCTAATCAAGTATATACCAACTTTTTAGTATCATCAAACTAATTTACGTGGTGTACAATGTGGTGTAATCTTTGTGTCAAGTTCAAATTTTAATAACTATAACAAATTAACAACTTAAAATAATTAGTGGATTTGTTAGTTGAAAAATAATGGTGATTTGTTGATTTAAAGTTGCAATATGTTATAGTGTAAATACTTTGATGTATGGCATGGCTAATTTTTTGGTGATATGTTGGTTTAGAACTATAAAAGATATTTATTTATAATTGATTGTAAAGTTAATTTTAGTTATATGTTACAACCCTATAATACGTAACACCATAATCTAATAAAATATATACCAACTTTTTAGTATCATTAAACTAATTTACATGGTGTACAATATGATTTAACTTTGGTGTCAAGTTCAAATTAATCTAATTCAATTTTACCATAATGAGTGTATTATACCAAATTATAACCAAGTAAATTAAAATAAATAAATTCATACATTGATGATAAATTTAATTTTTGATTATATATTCCATCTAAATTGGTATAAAATATGATTTAAAAAAAATTGAAGGGAGAAAAAAAAAAAGAACAAAGAATTTTTTTCAGAAAATAAAATGGGGTAAGAAATGGTAAAAAAAAAAAGAGGATAAAGAGACGAAGAGAGAGAGAAATAAGAAGATGAGAGACAAAAAATTCAGAAAAAAAAAGGCGGAGAGAGAAAAAGAGAACCTGTTTGGTTCAAAATTTTAAGAAAAAATTTAAAAAAAAGAGGAGAAAAATAAGGAAATAAAAATATTGAGGGATTAATTATTGAGAGATTTGTGGAAGGTAAATAACAAAATGAGAGGAAATTAAGGAATGAAATTTTATGAATATAGGAACGTGTATTGTTGTTTTATAATTTATCATTTGTTTTTTACTTGTATTGTTTTGTAAAAATTCTATTGTTATGTAGGTGAAAAGTTAAATTATTGTTATATGGAGGTTATTTAGGTGGTTAAATTGTATATTTAAGTTTTCGAAGATTTTATTTATAAATGCTACTTCTGTGATTTAGATTGTCAGGAAGGTTGTTTCAAAATAGTTATTACTATGTAAACATTGTTCTTTTGTTTTACTAATTTAGTATTTATTAATATTTCAGTGATTTCGACTAAGAAAAGTTCATATGACTTCTAATAACGCCAGTTGAAGTTTGTATTTGGTTAATTTTTATTATTTATTTAATAGTTAATTTTTATGATATATATATATATATATATTTGGGTAGGTATTTATATATGTTACGAATATATTATCAAGTTAACAAGATCTTCTAACGTCAAAATATATTAAAATTTCCGAGTTCCTTTTTTTTTTTAAAAAACTCACAACAAATGTGAAAATATGTGAATATTTATGAATCATTTAAAATTTATCATTAACAAAATAAATTTTATATTCAGTAATATGGAGTAAACATTTTCATTTTGTCTCTACACTAAATTAAAATCTAATAACTATAAAAAAAAATAGTAGCATTAATTAAATGTCCTATTTATTTATGTAAGTATAAGTTACTACTAATTATTGCAAATGTTATTCACACTCTTTTACATTCTTTAGTTATAATATTATGAATTCTCATAATTATTACATTAATTATTTCTATCATTCATCTTTCCATATATTAACTTTTGACCTATAATTTTTCATATTATTATACCGCTCATATATATGTGATAACACAATGTTGTTATTTTTCCTTGGACGAATCATGCTTGGTTGAATAAATTGAAAATTGTTTACAAGTATATAAACTATATCTTTGTTGGGTGTAAGATAAACATGTGATTATATAAATGATTTCACAGATAAAATATATTCTTTTATTTTAATGTTTGTTTTTCAGTTAAAAAAAAAAGGAAACCTTTCTCAGTTAACTATGGACAGTTAGATTACTATCTTTGATTTATGTACACAGTCAATCGAGAAGTCAAATATGAGAGCCAACAAAAAGAACATCATCAATTATGTTATAACTTATAAATAAAAATTAATATACAAAAATAGTTCTAAAAAATAAAATGTAGTTGTTCTCAACATGTTTATATGAGATCTAAACAAATTAAGTGGAATACACGTCCAAAACACATCTGGTTAGATGACAAGAAAAATGCACAACAAATATCGTCTATAAGGTAATATTGGTGAGATACGACTAATTACATGATTGAACCTCATCATATTGAAATAAATATATACATTATTGCATTTAACTAATAAAATTTTGCATTGACCATCTTCATAGGTTCGTGTGAATAAGAGATATATTTGACGATCCACATTGAACATTCACAAAAAAATCTGCAATATTATATTGTGCAAACCTTATTATTCAAATCTTCACTTACATTTTCTGAATTGATAATCACGTGCAACGCACGTATCGAAAAATTAGTAATAAATAAACACACAAAAAAAACACTCTAAATAAATTGAACCAAGTATACATAAGTTGGTTTTATCTAATGAGCACACATTAATTGGAATTAATTCCAAGTATTATTTCAACCAGTTTGACCACCAACACCAGGACGTTTGCCTGGAGGTTTTGATTGTACTGCTGGAGAGCCTCTTATTACTCTTGTTGCTTGTGATATTTTATTATTATTATCTCCTTGTGCTTCATCTTTCTTTATTCGAGAATAGGAAAATAGGGGTTTTTGTAATTTTTCAAACGATAGAAAATTTTAGAGAATATAGTAAAATAAATTGTGTATTTAGGTAATTTATCTTTAAATATTTAGACAGATTTAAACAGAAGATTGTATCATATAAATTGAGACATACTACTTTTATATTGATATGTTGGCAATTTTAACTTGGATCAATTTGTTTATTTTACTACTTTACCTTTTCATATTCGTTTTTGATCTTTTGTAGGTTTTAGGAAATTTAAATTGAAACAAGAGATTCGAAAAGATTGTTGAGAGTACATATGGTTTGGCAACAGACAAAGGCGGCCATATTTATCCCCTAAATACATTCAATTTTGTTTCCTTTCAAGTTCATGTTCTTGTGCATCTCCTCCTGATTATAATGAGAATGAATATAATCTCGTGTTAAACTCAATCTCATAAAAAAGATCATCAAACTTTTGTGGGAATTTTTTTTAACTTTTAAATTTTTAGTTACATGGAACTAATTTTTAAAATATTTTAATTATTTAAAAATATGATTTTTGTGGTGCTGACATATAATCGCTTTTTCCTCTCGATAGATATTTGTGTTGTAGTAAGATTCCTAGTATAACTAGAATAGGACTCTTAAGTGCTTTTTCCTCTCCTATTATATATAGATAGATAGGACTCTTCAACTCAACATTATTTTTCAGACTTGAGATTTCTACAAATATTGATAGCTATGGGGACTACCATAGGCACTTACAAAAGGTTCAAGCCTCACATCCTTATGGTTTTGGCTCAAATTGCTTACACTTTTTTGTACTTCATAACTGAAGCTTCCTTCAATCATGGAATGAATCCTCATGTCTACATAACTTATCGGCAAATCGTTGCCGGTCTTGCTATGTTACCCTTTGCCTATTTTCTTGAAAGGTAATCACAAAGTCATCTCCAATGCAGAAATGCAGTTTTTTGATGTTTCTGTTGATTTTTGTAGAAATAAAAGGCCAAAGTTAACTATAAGTCTCAAACAACATATGAAAATTTGATCTTTGATAGATCTTACCCCAGTAGAGAGAGTACAAACATCAAATTTTCATATGTTGTTTGAGAGTTATAGTTAATTTTGGCCTTTTATTTCTGCAAAAATCAACAGAAACATAAAAAAAACTGCATTTCTGCATTGGAGATGACTTTGTGATTACCTTTCAAGAAAATAGGCAAAGGGTAGCATAGCAAGACCGGCAACGATATGCCGATAAGTTATGTAGACATGAGGATTCATTCCATGATTGAAGGAAGCTTCAGTTATGAAGTACAAAAAAGTGTAAGCAATTTGAGCCAAAACCATAAGGATGTGAGGCGTGAACCTCTTGTAAGTGCCTATGCTAGTCCCCATAGCTATCAATATAGAAATCTCAAGTCTGAAAAATAATGTTGAGTTGAAGAGTCCTATCTATCTATATATAATAGGAGAGGAAAAAGCACTTAAGAGTCCTATACTAGGAATCTTACTACAACACAAATATTGGACTGTACTTGCTTTGTGGGGAAAAGAAGATCCACAACCAGAATTGAAAGAGAAAGAGAAAGAGCCAATGCTGCACAACTAACGAAGTGCATCACGAAGACCCTATGATGCAGATTAGTGCAGAACCTCTCCTTTATGTCTGAAGTAGTATGCTAGAAGTAAAACAATAATAGACATAATTCGAGTATAGTCAAGACTCATTTTTTCTTTTTTTTTGTTTGGATGTTCAATTAGTTATGCAAGATGTGGCAGGTTAAAACAGCAGCCCATATCATTCATATTTCTGTCCAGTCCAGTCCAGAGAGACTAGACAAATCACACATAATTCATCTAACTAGCATCAAGATGTTCACCCATCCTAACCAGTAAATGGAGCTCTCCAAAGTCCTACGCACAGTTAATTAGTTCTAAACGTCACTGAATTACCCCTGGGATTGATATTCCCTCGGCTGCAGCATCATATAGAATCCATAAATGCTCATAAATAACTAGTACCACATAGTTTGGATACACAAACTAAAATGTCAAGACAAACAAAAATGCGGGCAAAAGTAGCAGATGTCAATCAAATCCAATTCCATCTAGAGAAATTATCTGCCATACATTATCTTGCAAGATTCTCAAGCAGCTGAGCTTATGATCTTGAGATGTGTCCCGCGAAGATGGCTGTAGATACTGCCACATTGGCACATGGCCATCCGGCTGATATGCTGCTGGATGAGGTGGAATAAAACTTGCTCTTTCAACTCTTGCTCCATCCTCTCTTTGTAGTGCAAATTTCTCTTCGAAAACATTTTGTCTGTGAGATTGTACACTGGGCATCAGAGATAGGAATTCATTCAAGTAATCAAAGCCAAAATTTCTTCTAATTCCATTCAAGAGTTAGTACTCAAGACTGCCAGTCACCAAGCTACTTTAGCCTTTCAACAAAATCATTTCTAACCTTCAAAGTCTTCCATAAGCTTTTGGTTCATCTCTTTGTATTCCTCAGATTCAGTCTTCAGCTGGTTTAGATCACCAAGTATGGCCATTTTGTCTGTTTTTACAGCTCTCCTGGGTTCCAGAACAGAGCATAAATCTGAAAACCTAGATTAATAGATTGATTTAGAACACCTAATTTTCATTTTCATTATAATATAACTGATACTAAAGTGTCACTTAAAAAAACATACTACTTCGCCTCTCTTCTTTCTTCAGTAACAATTAATAATCGCTAGCTACCCGAATAATGACCTTTTTAAAATACTCTTAGCTATACTTAGAAGAACTTCCAATGGCAGCTCCAAGTCTTGTAAGACTTCCCAAGCCAGCAGAAAACAAGATAGCTATAAAATTGCAATGAACTGCATCCATGTTTTATCTACAAACCTAATTTAGAATGCAGAGAGAAAATAAGAATTCATATGAGGCTGAGCATGACAATACCTTTCATTCAATTTTTCCCTTCTTAATCTCTCACGGCAAGCTTTGTTCCCTTGTATACTTTTGTACAGGCTCAAATTTCAAAGCCCTATATGAGTTAGCCCGGAGGGATGGAGTGGTCAACCCATATTGACACCTTTATTCACAGTGTTACCAAATAGTAAAAATGCGATACCACAACTTGTTATTTGAGTTACTTACTCTCAATCTTCTTATTTCTTTAGATTAAAAAACTATTAAGTATAATTTATTTATTCAAGAATTATGAAGGTCAACAATGTTAACTAAAGAATTTAACACATAATGGAACAGAAGCTAGGGATATGGCTCAAGGAAATTCCTAATCCCTTACAAGTCTGCATATTAGATATAAATATGGAGGTAAAGAGCCAAAAGAGAATGAACATATGGCTGAAGGAATTTTTTTCCTTATGGATGATCTAAAGTTAGGAAAAACATTAACAATGGATCTTCCTTCTTCTCTACAAATGTTACCAAAAAAAGTTCCATTTTCATTGAAGGAACTCCCAAACCTTGTTAAACATTTCTCATTTTCTAATGACCCTCCACAAGAAAAATCCATGGAAGAAGTATGTGAAGATTCACCCATGAAGGGAGAGACTAAGGGCCCGTTTGGCCTTGCGATATGGTATCATGATATGGAATCATGAGATGAAATTGAAGTTTTGTTTGGACATGCGATATGGAATTTTTGTGTTATATATTTTCTCATTAACATAAAATTTTCATAAGTCGTAAAACTATTAAAATAGCCCAAATTGTTTATTCAATCTTATCAAATAAACAAAATTTATAAAACCGCATAATAAATTATTACAAAGCTATTTGTTCTCCACTTAAGTAATTGTTTCATGTAACTTTAATTTAATAAAAAAAAATTGAACATAAATTGTAGTGTACTAGTCTTTAATATAATCCTCCGACATAGTACGGACAATTTCCTCACGTTGAACTTGCATTTCTCGATCATGTGACCGAGAAGACGAACCAACATTGTTACTTTGAGCCATTTGTTGGTCAATATCATCCGCAACTATATTTTTATGCTCATAGACCATAAATATTTCATCACTTTAACAATCGGTTGGTGTGAGTTAAAGTGACTATATGTTGGTGAGAATAATAAATTTTATGTCAGTGACAATAATAAATTTTAAAAAGTAATGATGTGATTATAAATTTTATTTACATATGAAATAAATGGTTAGTAGATATAAATGTGGGGTTGTTTTAACAAAATACAAACTCGTGGATCAATTTTTGTATTAAAATATCTCAAATCATGATATGGAATTCCCCATATAATTCCATATCATGGTTTTTGGAGAATATGGAATCACATCTCATGATATGGAATTGAGATGGAATCAGCGTAAAATCGCATGTCCAAACGCTGATTCCATCTCACGATACCATATCGTAATATGATATCGCATGGCCAAATGCCTAAGTACTGTGCCACATCCGTTGAGGCAGTGCGGGATTTGTACAACGCATTTTGGGAGAAAACACCCAAATCGAACCTCTCATCACCATGATTATATGAATTTAAACTAAAGCTAAATGCATCTATTTGTTACACTTCCACAATTATGCCTCTTTCCGTCCCTCCTTAGAATTGAGATTTTGAAATTGAAATTTCACGTAACAATTCCATTTGTAGAATAAAGCAAAAAACTAACAAGAAAAGTTCATGAAAGCAAATAGCCTTGCAAAATCCACTAAAATATCTCCACATGTGACGAGATATTGTCATCATTTTGTTTGTTGGAGACCCAACCCGTGACCTTGTACTTTTAACTTTTAAACCTAACCTAAAGCTCCAAAAATAGTGATGTTAGTCCTATGCAAAGTATCGTTTACTAGGTCGTTACAAATGGATTCATAAAATTTAGGGTTAAATAAAGTTGTTTTGACATATTTTGAAAAATTCATTGACTAATACACACAAAAAACTTAGATAATCTTAAATTCCATTTTCGTGACCTTGAAACTCCAAAAATAAATAAATGATGTCGGTCCTACAGAGACAGACTATCATTCACTAAGTTGTCACAAACATATACTACTAAGACATACAATTTTAAAACGTCAATTTTATCTTTAATAAGATTATTTCTAGTCACACAAACATATACTACTTACTAGTTCTCGATAGACACGTGCGTCCCATATTAAGTAATATAAATCATAATTAAATTGGAGGTTAATGAGCAACAAATAATATACAGACAAAATTACAATCAAGATTGAGAAGAAGACTAAATTCCAAGTCTAAACATCTCTTAAGAATAAGATAGTTTACCGATGCATCTAGCTGTAATAGTTATTGATAATTTGAAAGACTTTTGATATTCTAGAAGCGCATCAACAAATATAATAAGCTAACAGATGATAAATGTAATTTTTAGTTGAATAAAATAATAGAAATTTCATTTGTCGAAAAATGATTATCAAACAAGTCACTATAGCTATAAGCTTATTACACAACATGAAAACAATCCAACTCTTTTTTACTCTTGCTAAAGTTATGATACAACGTAACATTCCTACTCTAAATTGGCTAAACTTGATAGTTTTTCTAGCACCGTTCCTTTTAAAATCTGTACCCTTTCAGAAAATAACTTATCCCATGTTATTTTGGCAATTTGGAAGCCTTCAAGGTTGAGCTAACAGTTGGAGAAGCTAGACAATGTCCAGAAAAATTTAAACTGGAGGTTAAATTAAAGGAAGAATACTTCCTTAGCTTTACCTTTAAGTAGTATCCACCTCTCGATCAACAATTTATCTGGAGAAATTCCAGTAGAAATAAGTTTCAAATAGATACAAGTTTTTCAAAGAGCTAACAGTTGGAGAAGTTATATAGTTAATAGAGGCTAACTTATTGTAGACAATTTATATTCCTGCTCATCAAGATTGACAACACTTAGCAACTTAATTAGTTCCAAGAAAATGGATAAAAGATAGGCTCACTCTCAAAAGTTTTAAAATAAGGCTCATGAGCAACCCCTTGAAATGATCCAACCTTTTTTTTTCTTTCCAAAATTGTACTTTTATTGAAAATAAAACCAGTGCATATAGAGGGGTTACAAAAACTTCCCTCACCTACTTAATGGATCAAGTCCATCTATTAAAAATAGTAGGATTTCAAGATAAGCTTACAAAAAGTTGTAGTAGAGATAATACAGTATCTCAATCTAAAACAAGAATTCAAGGTACATCAAAACTGTAGGTTCTTTCCAAGCTTCTTTCCATATAGATGGTCTTGTAGTTTTGTTTTCTTCTGAAGCAAAGGAATTCAAGTCTGTCCATATTATATTCTCCCCTTGCCTCCATAGGTAGTTGTTGAGGTGTAGAGAACCCATTCTGTGCATGTGCATTCCACTCCATAATTTGATAATCTATCAGTGACATGATTACCTTCTCTATAAGTATGTTGAATGACAGTAACTTCAAAATTTTGTATCGCCCTCTTAATGTGTTGGATATCATCCCAAAATGAAATGATCCAACCTGATATTGAAAACAATCAAAATAACATGAACACAAATTTAGAATATAAAGAAGACACAAATGAAAGTTGTGAACAAAATATATCCAATAGTATATATACCTCTGTGGAAAGTGTATTTGAAGCACACAAATGACAAATAGGATAATGGACAAACACTTCTAACTATGAGGAGTAAAATGTAGAGATCATCTTATTTAAATGTCCTCGAGTCTCCTATGTGTCTTAACAATGGTGAAAGAATAATCCTATTTATAGGTTGAGGAGTCACTCCAAAAATCACCATATTTAGTGTCATAATAAATATAAATACATTCTTTTCCAAAAAGAACCTAGTAAATATTAATAGATAGTTCATGTATTAACTCAATGGACAATTCATCCATTCAATGAATTTATAACAATAACTAAAGAATTAAATTGGGAGAAAAACTAAATTAAGAAAATTGAATGGAGAAATGAAATGAGGAAAAGAAGTTGACGTTATCAGAAATCCGAAAGTCCATGTTACATGGATATGCTCCATGTATGAAATTAATTAAATGAATTTAATCAGTAATAACTAACGAAAATTATAATGTCATAACTACGGAATTAAAATACAATTGCTAGACTTCTAATGCAGTAAATAAAATATGTTTATTTCATTAAATTTATTGGTTAATTAAATATTTAATTATATTTTAATTTAGTGTGGGATAAAATCGTAATTCAACTTTTAAGTTATGATATATGATTTTAATATGACTAGTCTCTGAACATGTGTGTTGCACGTGTGTTCTATGTGAATTTTTATAGATTCGTTAGAACAATAAAAAATTTATGCAAATAGTGTGAAGTGAGTAATATTTTTTTAATATGCGTCAAGAAACACCAAATGAGGGGCACATTACATATAGAATCAATAAGTTATCCATATTCGGAATTCGGAAGCTACAAGTTTAAAGAGGAAAAACAAGATCAGGCACAGACCATGAGAGGGAAGTAATTGCACTGACAAATCCTATAATTTGCAAATTATGTATAACGAAGTATGCATCATATTTTTCTCCAGAATAAGATAATACTTATTTCTGATAAAAGTATAGACAATTTACCAGCGGTGCTTGACTTCATATTCATTGCTATATATATACTAGTTCTAGATAAGTGTGTTGCACGTGTAATCCATACTAATCCTTCGCAAGAACAATTAAATTATAAGTCAGTTTTCTGACAACCTTATTAATCATAAATTGTGAAGACTTGATTATTATGTAGTTGGAATAAAACAAAATAATGTCATATCACTAAATTATTGAACAATTATAAAGGAGACGATAATTGTCGCATGCTTTTGATCTTGGGTTGGATAGAAGGCGAGGTTAAAATTTGTGAAGATAAAATGTTCTTAGTTTAATAGGACTTATAATTATGTATTAGAGATCCAAAATCAATAGATGATTCTTCTCGTTCCTTTATGACTTATTTGCATATCATATTATTGAATTAATCCCCCTTTTAAATGTATCCAACATATAGAAGTCAAAAGGCAAATTATAGAGGCAAGTTCATTTCTAAGAAATGATCATTATCAATAA